GGGTGCCTGCGCTGTGTGATTAGTTTTTGTTGCTGTTGTGTTGCAACAATAATCGAATTCCCGTGCGCACAAACAGAGCAAAGAGTGGGTGGAGCTCTCCGCCTCTTTCAGCAACAGCAGCAGCAGCAGCAGCAGCCAAATAAACAACATCAACAATGAAGTTAATAGCGAATTTAATTTGGATTTAATTTGGATTTACTTGGGGGTAAAGCGTAAAAGCATTGAGTTATAATAATTCGCTAGTGGATGCCCACTTTTCCCTCTGAAATTTTGCCCACATCTTGTATGTATTTTTTCGAAGTCATCAGCCATTCGCCTAACTTACATTGTTGCTATTGTACTTGTACTGTTTGTGTAGCATCGCCTGTGGAAGTCTTGTGTTCCATTGTTACTGGTTGCATGCACGATTCAAAGTTTGTAGCGAAACTTGAAAATAGTGTAACACAGAATACGTGATTCCGCTATGGTGGTACTTTCCAACACCATCTTTTTCTGTAAGCCACCTCTGCCGTTCTATTTGCCAGCTGCCAGCAATTTGTTGCAAAATGAATAAAAGGTTTAGAAATAGTTGTGGGTTGCGATCGAAAGTTGAGACATGGCACAGCACAACGTAGATTGAAGAAGGTTCATCTAGCATATCTGCAGTGACCAAATGGCCATTGGAATGCTGCGGCTTTCGCAAAACGAACTGTACCTTGGGGTTATACTTAATTAGACTTAAGAGCTATATGGACTTTAATTTGGCAAATATAAGTAGAGCAATGCTGAGGTTTGAGTTAGGCTCCAAGGGAATACCAAAAATAAAATATTTCGGAAAGAAGATTTTATTGAACTTTCTGCATAAAAATAATTTTTTATTAGTTGTTGAACCAAGCACAAAAAGTTTTTGGTATTTTAAATACGCATAATCACGTGAAAGCATATTTGCCAAGCAGTTGTGATGAGATTAGATGGACAGTTCTGGTAGGATATGCTCAGCGACCTTATATGTATTGTGTACTCCAATTTGACAGTAATAATGTCGTCGGCCGCAATAGCCGAATGGTTGGTATTGCGTACTGCCATTCGTAAGACCAGGCTGCGAATCCTAGTTTGACCAACAACCTCGGCAGGGAACGTCAAACCTTAGAAGGTGGCTTAAAATAAATTGTACGCCTTTTAAAGGGGCGCCCGCTTCACGCAGCACACTCTTGGCTTATGGTAAAAGTCTAATATCAGGTAAACTTGACCACATTAGTAAAAAAACCTACAAATTATTGGGAACACAAAATAAATCGGTAAGTTTTTTATGTTCAGAAAAGTTTTTTTTTTATGGAAAAATGTAAACTATGCATAATTCAAGGTATTATCCGTTGGTAGTAAATATTTTTTCACACTTCTGTGGTAATTTTCATATACCATCTCTAAAAAATGAGTTCTCTTTGTGCTCGATCCACTCATTAAACCATAATCGATTACTTCTAAAAACTTTGAACCGATGACTCCCCTAAATTGTTTTGCATCCATCGAAATGGCGACTAGTTGGATGGTGCAAGGTCTGGAGAATACGGCGGATGGGGTAACGCATACTATTTCGGCGTTTCCATGTATAGCAGTATCTGACCAGTACCGGAACGTAGGGCCGAGCGTTTTGATGTTGTTAAATCGCTCAAGCACATTAATTTTAGTCTATATAGTTTTGCATGAATGGGTTCGTCTCGCTTTAGCAGCTCATAGTACACCACATCCGTCTAGTCCCACCAGAACGCTTTTTGTCTTCGACCCTAAAATTGCGTTTGGATGGGCTTTAGCTGCACTTTTCTTTCATTTAGTATAGAATATTGTTATCATCAACAGAGGCTGATGCCTATTAATGATTGTAGACAGATGTGAAATGGGTACGATCGGATACAACTTCCAGAGGTAGCTATTTGTGATCACCCCTCTCTCCCCATTTTTGGATAGGATTCGACTTTTCAGAAGCACTCATATTGTGGTGGCTCTTACTCAGCTTTAAGTATCATCTCTCACTGTTTATAACGCCGATAGATAACTGCGTATGAGTTATAGGCTACAACAACAAACTACACTTATATGAAAGAATATATTTAATTTAAAAATCTAGTTATAAAGTAAAATTCTTAAAGGAAGATGGGTTGGTCCGATTGAGCATTTTTTTTGAGGGGATCGCGATTTCTAGAAATTCTTTGAGGTTGCCAAAGAAACTACTAGAGAGAAGTCTTCTTCACTAGCATAAGGAAAAAAAATGGGGTATCATTCTAATGATTTCTGCCGCGGCTGTAGTGATGAAGAAGAGGAGAAGACCTACCTCTGCCACTGTCCAGCCTTGACATCAGCGCGTTACAAATTTCTTGGGAAGCACTTCTTCGATTGTGTTGCTGAGATAGCCTCAGCGAATACTGGAAATCTCGTTGCGTTCAGTTCAAAATTTTGAACCATAATCATAAACATTTTCACTTAGTTTTGACAAAGCCAGCATTTAAATGGTATGAATATTTTTTATTTTATTTAATTGAAATTTAAATGCAGTTTATTATTATTATTATGCATTGTATGAATTTCGACAATATTTCAGGTAATTTGAGAGTAATCATTGAGTAATTTCATTTTATTTGAAACATCTTCAGGGGTTGCCTTAATTTTGGCCAATATCGTATGTAGCAGTCAAGAAGAACGCTTGAAATTTTGGCTCAAAGGCGGGTCAGAAAATAAAAATAAGAACCATAATAAATATTTATATTGAAAATTTGGTAGCGCTGCGGTCCAAAAAACCTATGAACTCGATCGCTTCAATAGTCGTTGAGACATTTTTACTACCGATCTCGATAAAGTGGTTTTAAGAAAAAACTGGTTTAAAGTTTTGCCATCGGTCAAGCCATGACCACAGTTTCGTCTCGATCGTCTTGAAATTTGTGGAAAATGTTCCTGACACTTTGTACTTTCATACAAAAAATTATTAAAAAAAAAAAATTATTTTTTTGTAGTTTCAAGACCTATGTAACCGCTTAAGGGATGCTTTAAAAAAACAAATATTTGAAAAAGGGCTTAACGCTTATTAAAAACGTCAATTGCAGTAAATTGTTTATATACAGAAATTTTAAATATATTACAACTAGTGTCCTTCAATTGTTTTTTATACAATTAAAATCAAATATAGCAACGTAAGTATGAAATGTGACACGTTTTCATTGCTTAAATTAGTGTTTAACAGATTTCCTAAAAAAAAACTTATAATAAATAATTGTAATCAAAATAAAATTTATTCCCCAGCTTACTTCACATTTAAAAATCACACAAAAATACTTATGTCATATACTTAAAACATACTAAAAGAAACACTAGTTCTTTTTCCCTCCCTCAGCTGAAAGTTTTAAAGAGCTGCTTTAGTAAAAGGCCTGACATGATTCCAACATGCTTGCTCAAACTATCCAATAAACTTTTTTAATATTTCCATTAATTTTCAATACCTAGCATGGTTAATTTGCGAGAATTTGTTACTCACGTTCCAAATGGGTTTAGGTAAAACAACTACACCGATGTTATATATACCGACTTTAGTAAAGCGTTCGATAGAGTAAATCATCTTATATAAAATTAATAAAAAACTAGATCTTCCTGGATTTCAGCCTAATCATCTCCAATGGATATCATCTTGTCTCTGGACATAATTGATGTAATTTCAGGCGTGTCTGGGCACGTTTCTGTTTGTGTTGTTTATCAATGATTTTTCTTCAGTCATAAAATATTCAAAAATTATATTATATGCAGATGATGTAAAGCTTTTTTAAGTCATTTAAGGCATTCAACCAAAGGTGCTTTTTACAAACCGATTTAGATTAATTATTAATATGGTGTAATAACAATGATATGCCACTTAACCTTAACAAATGTAAAACCAAGCTAAATTTCTTCAGCAACCTTCTTACACAATAGACAAATATATTCTAGAACTAGTATGTAATTTTGTAGACTTAGGTGTCACAATGGACAATAAACTTATTTTTAAACTCATATTCATTATATTGTGTCGAAAGCTAAAGGCTCCTTTGCTTATATAAAGCGATGGTAAAATGAATTTAAAGACGCTTTTATAACCAAAACACTTTTTACATCATTAGTGCGATCAATATTGGTGTACGACTGCGTAACGTTCTACTGGGGTTCGAGCCAAAATATTCCACCGCTTTAAACTTCGAAATCCATCAACACTTTCTAGCCGTAGAGAAATACTGGAGATGATTTTTTTTATTAAAACTCTTGAATGAACCGATTTGCAGCTCATTTTCTTTAGGTGAAGTAAATTTTCCTGTCCCCATCCGATTGTCACGACAGTTTAGACCATTATTTTAAAGGTCAAGTAAAACCTATTTTGAACTCTATGAACCATTTTGACGTAGAAGTCAAGTTTTCAATTGTTATTTCAGCACTTTTCGTAACGAAAAATACCATACCACTCTTAATAAGTAATTCTCCAAATTTAGTTTATTGCATAATCAATCGCATATTTCAGCTGATGATTTTGTTTGTCTGCAGCTGAGCAGTTTCGAATCTCGATGCCTTACAAAGTCTTGCTTTTCATGACTCGGCAAATTCCGTACGCATGCGGACGATGCTACGCGGGTCGGTTGGGCGGGAGGAGAGTAACCGTTGGACACATTACTATTATTAAAAAACTACTACTGTTATCATATCTCACCTCCTCTGATTTTCTTTTCAACAACACCAACTCGTCACTGTGCGACACTACTGAGCCACAAGCCCATCTATCCCGCACTCATCAGTTAATGAGCAAGAATATAACGAAATTATAACTGTTTGATAATTGAATAAAATTTCAAACTACTCATAAAGAAATCTCGCACTGTTATTCTATTTAGTTAAAATGACGGTAGAAATGTACACCGCACCGTATAAATATATATATAATACATTCAAATGAAAGAAGAATTATAATACTGTGTATGTATGAATTAAAGTAGTTAAAAGCCTTCAATACTCACTCGCAACCGCCTGGTTGTTCACATTTCCCATGTGTCGGGTCACAGCCGGGCCGACAAATTGCCTCCTCACAATTGATGCCCTGCCAACCGCCCAGGCAGAGTTTCTGTCCCTCCGCACCGCATGTGTAGTGACCGAATTGATCGTTGCGCGGTCGACAGAAAGTCGTACACGTCGTGTTATAGTAAGTAACGGCACATTGCACTCTAACCCGATATGTAATACGAGCATTCTTGCCAATGTGGTCTAATGTTTTCCACTCGGGCGATGGTAGGATCACGCCCGAAAATGCTGTTTCTTCAATTAACCTCTCCGAATCTATGATTTGATGAGCCAACCGAATGTTGTTTGAATTTCATTCGATGTTGTTTGGTCGATGATGTTGATGTTTGTTGGTATTGTTGTTGCATAGTTGTTCCATTGAACATGAGATTTTGATGCAGCGTTTGTTGTTTAGTTTGTTTTTGTCATTTAGTATTCGGTTGTATTGTTTTCGGTAGCAAATTTTTTTCGACCAAATCATTCGAGTTGGTGAATTTCGCAAATAGTTGATGGTTTTTTGCATTTCAGTGTATGTATGTGATGGTTGTTGGCGGAAATAGCACAAGTTCAAGAAAAGTTACATGCAGCACATACACATACACATGCACATATACATCCAAATGGGTAGGTTTGCAGCCAAAAAGGCAGCAAAAAGAAGAAAACGAAATAAAATTGTTGGTTTTAAGCGACGAAGAGTAAACAAACAACAAACAAGCGCGCATACGATCGTATTGAAATGAGGCATACAACACGTCGCACAAAAACAACAATAGCAACAAGTACGTTCACAACAGCAAACAACAAACAAAGCACATTTAGCATGAAAAAAAGAGAATAAAAATAAAAAAAGAAAATAAGAACTTTGAAGCGAGATGTAATGAAATGTAGAAAATGTGTTAGTTTCAAGTCAACTGTCAGCAAGTTTGTGGCTAAACTCTTCTGTATTTCAGCATTTTTTTTAGTATATTTTTAGAATGTTTTTTTTTTTGTGTTTTTTTTGTTCTTTTTTTAACTTATTTCTTTGCCCTTCTTTCATTAGTCAGGTTATTTTGTAGAGTAGCACATTTTGTTTTTATAGTTTACGAAAACAATTTGTTGTTGTCAAGTCATTTGGAGAATTGTCACCAAGGCAAGCGCACGAAGCACGCGGTAGGTAAAGTTGTCTAATTAAAACTACCAAATGGTGCGTCACAGTGTAAAAACACCAAAAAAAAATAAAAAATTAATAAAATAAAATATAAAAAGAAAACGAGCATCAACGGCGGCGACCGACCCAGCGATAGTTTGAGGTTTTTATTGCTATCATTTCGCCACATTCAGCAACACCGCCACCAACTTTAATTTCAATGTACGCGACAGCAAACTGAACTCTGCAGTTAAACAATTTTTTTTATTTTTATTTTATTTTTTTTTTTTTTTTTTTTTTGCCCAACTATTTTAGTTCCTAGTTTTCGCTGGCTAATCGCCTTGTCGGCTGCCGCTGATGCTTTGGTGGTATTTGAATAGCCGTCGCATAATTACCCGGGTACGATGTGTTGTACATATCCAGCGCCTGCAATATCAGCGTAAACGATTTCTGCAAGTGAAATAAAAAAAAGACAAAACAGAAATGAAATTAAATGAGCGAATAAACGTGGTACGAATGAGTGAATGTAAGAAAAAAAAATAAAACTAAAAATAAAAAACCCAACAGAAACTACAAATGTTTGCTTAAATAAGTACATTTAAGTATTCTTATATATGTACATAATATTATATATATTTTTAAAGCTATATATGTTTGTGTTTTGTTCGTGGGTTAAACGAGGTTAAATTACGTTGTCAATTTGCTGTTTGTTTCAGTTACATTTTCATGTTATTCTCTGACTACTACTTTAGTGTTAACTTCGTATTTTTTTCGGGTGGCTTCCAATTTGTGGCGTATTCATTGTTCGCAGGCAAACAGTAGCCAATTGGAAGTGACGTTAATTGGCATTTACATAGGTATTTGTCTCTAAACTAAGAAATTGAACTGTAGCGAAGCAAAGGAGATTCAACATGGTAAACAGTCCTTAAGAAATGCTTAAAAGTAATACTAAAAAAATTAAAATCTTTAAGGATACAATGAGAGTGGAAAATTTCTTCAATACTCCATATGCTGAATATTTTTCTGAAAGTAAATGGAAAATGGCTTAACAAAAAATATAGTTTCCAAAAATATAATTATAAAAATAATATTTCTTCAAGCTTTTAGCTTTCGGCACTCAGCAAAGCTTAAATAGTTTTCTTTAGTTTTAATTGGATTTTTCCATTCAACTTTATCAATTCAAGATAATCACATAGGGGATTTTCAATAACTTTTTGCACATTACGAAATTGACTACAGTTCCGCCATTTTGGAATATATTTTTTTTTATCTCAATATAAGACTAATATTGTAGTTTCCGAAATCATTATAATTGGATGTCCTTAAAAAAAAAAAAAAAAAAAAAAAATACCTTGAAGACAGGTGGTTTTTGTATTACCCCTTCAAGGGAGTAAAATATAATATGAATATGGAGCTCAAAACTCACTCCAAAATATTATATAATCTTGGAAATACGTCCTTACTGCTGAAAATTTCAAACAAAATTATTAAAATTATTAAATAAACTTATTTTTTATAATTGCTACCTGACGGTCATTCTTATTAACGGCTCAAAGCTCCAGAAAAAAGTAAGCTGTGGAACCCACTCTCCCATACACTCAATAAATATCAGCCTGACACTACAAGATCACTGCAGCGTTTTCGAAACAGAACTCTCAGTTCAGGATAATCAGTTACGATATATTCCGACAGTCAAGCTGCCATAGAGCTCTACAATATAAGAGTACCACATCAAAGGTGGCTATAAAATGTATAAGCGATCTGAATCGGCCGCGGTAGTTGGCATTGCGTACTGTCATTCGGAAGGCCCGGATTCAAATCCTGGTACGACCAATATCCAAAAGTGATAGAAAATTAATTTGTATAAACAAACGAAGTTAAATTTTCTAATTGCGGTCGCCCTCGGCAGGGAATGTCCACCCCTCTGAGTGTGTTTTGTACATGAAATAAAGGCGCCTCGTAAAAAACCATCAACCGTTCAGAGGCGGCTTAATATAAACTGTAGGTCCCTCCATTTGTTGGAAAAACATCAAGATGTGAAAACACCCTTTTATCTACAATCAGACATGAATACGATGCAGGCTTAGCACTATTTACATCAAAGTAAAAGCAAACTCAAGATGGCTGAATAAGATCCCGTGGAACATAACCAACCAGCTATGACCGAAATTTCATAACAAAAAATAAAAGAATCACAGCATTTTATCCTTATAGACCGGTGCGCCATTCACGTTACATCACAAGCCATTGATAATTTTTGCCTCGGCTGTAGGGAAAAAAGAAGAGGAAGTCATTGCCTAGACTTGAAATATGCCCGACACAAGTTGCTCGGGAAAAACTTCTTTGACTGTCTCGCTAGCTTCAGCGAAAATTGGCAATCTTGTTGCTTTATGAGGCACACGAAATTATTCGCGCGTTTGAGAAGGTGAAGACAGGGGCCTTTTAGAACACATCAACTCAAGTCAACTGAAAAAGAGAGTCAAGAGTAAAATGTGATGGGGCCAGCGAACGGAAGTTGAGTAGAAAAATGAATTTCGTTATTTTCGGGTGAAGCAGTTCTGACCATATTGAGAATATTAAGCTTGTACGAGTATTCAAAATTGAATGAACAACATTTTACTTGAAATATTTTGGTAGTGAACTGGTGAGTGGATATATCATAATGTTGAGAAAGGCGTTACCAGAATAATGAAAAATATTTATAAATAGCTAAAGTCGCTGCTAAAATAAAGAAATTTGTGAGTCCTCTTTTTTTCTGTAATTGTTGTTTACTTGTTTCTTTATAAACAAATTTTAAATTTAAAAGAAATGAATATGGGAAAAAAATATATAAACTCCAAAGACTTACAGCAAAAACAAGTTCAATACTCATTTATATGTATTACAGATTTTTTGCTTTGAGATAGGAAAAATTGAATAGAAAATTGTTAATTTAGTGAAAGGAAAATTGGAAATGTCACGCAATGCAAAATAGTTTAATCTGCTTTCGATTCCTTTTTTGTGTTTATGAATAAAAAACGAAGGTATACTTTTAGTTACCTCAAAGTGGGGGTAAAGGAATTTTTTAATAAAACTCTGCTGGGTGGTTTTTTATATTGTATTTTTGTGTACCTGATCACAGCAAACAGTCTCAACTTCTTCCTCATCTTCTTCATCGAAATATATTAATTTTAAAATTTCTTTATTTACATTTATTTATCTTCGTTTGATGTTGTTTGTTCAAAAAAAATTTGGCAATAGGTAATATGTGTTAGTTATTTTCAACACCATTACCCAACTTAAGACCCAGCATCCATTCTTGCATAATATTTGACCAAATAGACCACGTCCAGCACGCTGATGGAACGACTTGGTATATTTCGCGTCGATATCTTCACGTCCGACCTTTTGGATCCAAATTTGATTCAACGCTGAGGCTCATTTCTGGCTCAATGGGTATGCAAACAAGAAAAATTTCCGCATTTAGGATGAAGAACAATCTGAGCTGCTATTTGATCCAGAAAGAACAACGGTTTGCTGTGGCTTGTGAGCCGCTGGAGTCAGCTGTCCATATATCTTCAAATATCAGTGCTGATGAGAACGTAACGCGCCAATGGCGACACCGTTATCGCGTCATGATAACCGACTATTTGATGTCTAAAATTGAAGTTTGTGAACTCGGCAACATTTGGTTTTGTTGAGAAAACACTTCGGTGAGCAGATAATTTCACATTTTTTCCAGATCATTTGGCAATCAAGATCGTGTGCTAATAAACTACCTTTATTTTTTCAGTGGGGATATGTATTGCCCAAAGTTTTTGCGAACAATCTCACTTCGATTCAGTGCTTTGAATAAAGCATCCTGAGTGCTCGAAGGAGTCGTCGAAAATTGAACTCAACAAATGGACTATGTGAGATGTAGCCGCGGCCAAAATTTGAAAGAGATAATCTTCGAAAAATAAATACCAAATAATGTTCTCTCGAATGATAATAAACATTCCCCTTTAATTTGGATTTTCGTTGCTTTTTCTTTAAACAAGTAGGGAACCCGAAATGGTTCGCCCTTTATAAAACCATGGCAGATAAAAGCAATAGGCTCAAAAACACATTTACTCAAAGCTTATAAATATAGTGAAAGACCCCTGCATAGACCAGAAAAACTCATATAATTGGCTTTACAGAGGTCAATGGCACTTTAGAGGTGGAAGGAAAAGCTACCCAAAATACATATTAAAAGACGAGAAGAAACCATATTAAAACCATGTCATTTGTTTAGCTCTGTAACAGGTATGTACGTGTATTACACTAAACCTTTATACTAAACAGTTTACTGAGGACTGAGGTAAGCTTTGTCGATTCCGGGACACACGGACGGATCGATGCTCGCCATAGCAGTGCAGGCTATTAATTCTGCATTCAATTTACACTTCTGAACAAGGTCCGAAATGGCTGGTTTCTGACAAACGACGTGAATAATACCTCGGTAGAGTAAGCCGACATCATCCCTCCAAAAGAAACCAGCGGAAATCATTAGCAACTTTCTTGGATACTCCCATTGCGTAACGACTTATACCGGTCCTGCCTAATTAGAACCGTCGCACACAATATGGCGAAACAGACTCTTATCTTGGTAGCTTAGAAAAGGTGGTTCCTCAATGCTTTTTTGCCTACTTCTCGAAACATTCCTATTGGGGTTGTGGATGCTTATCACGAGGTGGCAATTATTCCCTTCGTCTCCAGACACACTTAGCGCTCTTGGTGGGGCGCTGAGCATTGGTTATTCCCAGCTGACGTAACCGATATAGGTTGTCCACTATCCGTCAGGTGGGAGCCCGGTGCTTGCCTGAGCTACTTCCCTTTATAATATTTTCTATTGATGAGAGTACCGTCCTTTATTCTTGGTATGAATGTTTGGAAACTTGTTTCAAAATTGTTGGTATATCAATGTGATGAACTCGTCTGCAAGTGAGCAAGTTTTTATCGTAAAGCTAGTTGGCCGAATAAGCAAAACTTTACCAAAATTTGTGAACACAGCTATAAACTTAAAAACAACAAAAAAAAATACCAAGATCTGATGGAGATTTCATAATTAGAAATTAGAAGGTGGCAGGTGGCGCATGTTGCAGTGCATTCATATATACATACATATATATATTTAAAATTGAACGTCAGTCAAAACAACCTACATACTCGTATGCTTTTACAATAAGAAGAAGAAAGGAAGTCAAACAACTACAAAGCTCAGTGTAATAATAAGCACCGATAGAACTTTCCACGTTTACATTCTTTTACTTCAAATAACGATCATAACCTTGCTTTACAGCTTGCATGCATTTAAACACATGCATACATATATATATTTCAACAAAACATTTATGCACATTTTGCCAACGTTGAATGGCACACGAAGATTATGCACAGCGAAAGCAATTAAATTTCAACAATGTCGCACAGCTGGGCGCCAGGAAACT